AGCGACTTGCACTTTCTCAAGTCACTCCTGACACAAAAAAAGGACAAGGGTCCTGCTTCTGATTGTCACAGGATCCCCTTTAGTGGAGGGCATTGGAAATCTCATCATCTTTGCAACCTTCTCATCTGATAGACAGATCTCCTCCACTCCATCCAACTTAGTGATGTTTCTCTTCTTAAAGCATCTTCAAAGAACTTAGGTTGCAGGTGTGGATTGCGGGGTGCTGATTTCCCATAGACGCCCATAGCAAGCTGTGCACCTTTCCATGTGCCACACACAATGCCCCCGTTTCCTCCCTTACTCCTTTCTTGAACCACACCTACAATCAGCTTGGCTCTGGGACTCCCTTTACTTCTTTGATGGCCCATCCTTCGACACGTTGCCCTGCCCTACAACTTCCAAGCAAACCGAAAGCGAATGATGACACGCATGGACCACACCCCTGCACCCAGTATCTGCAATCCTTATACATTATTTTTTATTCGTTTATAGTACTCTTTCTCTCCCAATGATGGCCTATAGTGCATGAAAAATAATACAAATTTAGAAATACATCATAGCATCAATAAGCGGTATTAATGTGAAACGGTATAAACGGAAACTGCCCTGAGTCCGTTCGGGGAGATAGGGTAGTATACAAATAAAAAAAATATTATTATTGTTATTTGAAACACCACAATTTGAGTCCACAGCACATACTCTGCTGGCTGTTGTATTGGATCCCATGTCAGACACTTCCCAAGTGTCTAGGACTGTGTGATGTATCGGCGAATAATGCGAGCAGATCCCAGCAAGGTGGCCTTTTGCAGCCGACAGATGGTAATTTTGTCAGCACTGATTGTGTTTAAGTGCAGGCCAAGGTCTTTAGGCACTGCACCCAGTGTGCTGATCACCACTGGGACCAACATTACTGGTTTGTCTTTGCAGTTCAATTTTTAAATCCTCATATCGTGTCAGCTTTTCTAGTTGTTTCTCTTCAATCCTGCTATCGCCTGGGATTGCAACATCGACAATCCATACTTTGTTTTTTAACACATACATGAGGTCAGGAGTGTTGTGCTCCAAAACTCTGTCTGTCTGAATCTGGAAGTCCCAGAGGAGTTATGGTGTCTTCATTCTCTGTAACTTTTTCCGGCTTGTGATCCCACCAGTTCTTTGTCGCAGGCAGATGGTATTTGTGGCACAAGGTCCAATGAATCATCTGAGCAACAGTGTTATGCCTCTGCTTGTAGTCTGTCTGTGTGATCTTCTTGCAGCAGCTTAGGATGTGATCTATTGTTTGAACATTATTATTATTGTTATTGTTATTGTTATTATTATTATTATTATTATTATTATTATTATTTTATAAATGTGGATGTTATTTGTCAACTCCTCAAACTACCATTTGTGTGTTTGACAAAGAGAGAGCTTTTCTCATCCAGGACTGCATCTATACCAGGCATGGGCAAACTAAAGTCCGTGGGCCGGATGTGGCCCCCTGGGTTCTTACCTCAGGCCCTCCTCATTCCCCCTGTCCTCTTGCAAAAAGATATGGGAGGAAGGCACACAGTGGCTGTGAGTCCTCTGGAGAGCTCTCAGTCACCGTGGGTCTCACCCCACCCTTATGCCAGGAGCGTCCCCATCCCTATGCCAGGAGGATAGCATGGGGAAGGCACATGGTGGCTGAGAGCCCTCCAGAGCACTCTCAGTTGCCACCAGTCTCACCCTCCTCCTTTCATAATGCCAATAGGACAGCCCAAGGTTCGAGGGAGGATGATTGGGAGGATGATTGGGGCAGTTGCCACGTGCCCCACCTTCCTCCCAGTATAAGGATGGGGTGAATAGCCTGGTCCTCACGCTGGGAGGACAACCTGAGCATGACCCAGACTCTGCCCTGCCCTCTCCTGGCCCCACCGTTTCCCGGGTCTGGGCCCACCCCACCCAGCGCATGCCCGGCCCCCCTCCCTCTGGTCTGGCCCTCCCGGCTAGCCCCAAGGCAAAAACGTTTACCCATGCCTGATTTATACTGTTGAATTAAAGTGGTTTAACCCCATTTTCACTCCCATGACTCAAAGTTGTAGTTTGGCACTCTTGGCAGAGAAAGCCAAAGACCTTGTAGAACTACAATTCCCAATCTTCCACAACATTGAGCTATGGTAGTTGCATATTTATTATCCACCTGAAGATAATAGGTTTTTTTTGGGAAAAAAATGGTGGAAAACTGGTCACAAAACAAATTTCTTGAGTTTGGAGAAATGCGAAATATTCACAATTCAGGACTTATTCTGTGCAAAATTGCATGTGGGCATTTTGTGCAGAAAGTAGGAGTTTCTGCACAAGAATCAAAGTTTTCTGTACAAAAATAGTAGGAATGTGCTGCTTTCTGTGCAGAATATGTCGTTTGCTGAGTGAAAAGCATCAGATGCAAATTTTGTATAGACTGAAGCGCAAACTGCGAATAGTAGTTGGAAATGGCCATGTTTGAACATTTTCTTGCGATGAGAAGAAAATTGCAGAATTAAGGCAGAATTACTTCCGACACCACTTGAACTCTTTTTTATCAATGAACACTGGAAGGGTTGTGTTTTCAGAGAAAGTAGGAATTTCAGACTAACTTAGAAAAGCTTTCAAAGTGGCCTTTGGTTTGGTTTTAGGGTTCTGGACACATTTTGCATACAATGTAATCTGAGGATGAAATATTTCAAGTACGAAATATCTGCAGGAGTTTCAAAGGAGGTCAAGATTTTTTTATTACTAAACAGACATATTTCTCAAGGGTTTTTGTGCATATGTTTGCTTAAAAGATTGGCATCTATCAAGGGATGGAAAAAGATTTGGCTGAATTTGACCGCCTGGATGAAAATAGCTTTTTCACACACAACCCAGACTTGCAGAGAGGTGAGAGTCTGAGTTGTGTCTCAGACTCCCTTTTAGAATTTGGAAAATTGCACAGTTTTTTCGTGAAATATTTCAGTGAAGGAAGCAGTGCAAAAAATGTAGAGTGTGAAAGGTAAATGTGAGCAATTGATATTAAAAAATACATATAGATATTAGGAAAGATGTGTCGCACATGTACAGTTTCCAGCGGAAGGGAAAAGCAAAGTTTGGGAGGATGATCTCAAGATGGGAGGATAGTGCAATATTGGTCATTACTCCAAAACAAAACAAAACAAAACAAAAAAACCCACAAAAACCTTTGTAGCCAATTATTTATTTATTTACTTTGCTTATATACTGCTGTTCTCAGCCCGAGGGTGACTCACAGCGGTGAACAACACAGAAGGACAACACAATCTAAAATATCAATCTAGCAATAATCAAAAACATCATCAACAAAACACAACAATTAGCCAATATTGTGCTAATTGTACTTTGTTTCAGTCTTATATTCTAAACCAGTGGTTCTCAGTCCCTTTTGAACCAAGGATCTCTTGACCAGGGATCACTTTGACTAGGGACCACTTTGACCAGAGAGCACTTTCAACAGGGACTACTTGATCAGGGATCACTTTGACCAAGGACCACTTAGCTAGGGATCACTTTGACCAGGGATCACTTTGACCAGGGATTGCTTTGACCAGGGACCACTTGACCAGAGACCACTTTGACCAGGGACCACTTGAACAGGGACCATTTTAACCAGGGAACACTTTAACCAGGGATCCCTTGACCAGGAACCACTTTGACCAGAGACCACTTTGACCAGGGACCACTTTGACCAGGGATCACTTGACCAGGGACCACTTTGATCAGGAACCACTTCAATCTGTGACCACTTTGAACAGGGACCACTTCACCAGGGACTTCTTTAAACAGAGACCACTTTACCAGAGACCACTTCACCAGGGACCACGTCACCAAGGACCACTTTGACCAGGGACAACTCTACAAAATTAGTACTAAAAAGTTTACAAATCAGTTTTTGGTCAACTTTAGATTTGTTTTGGTTATTTGGGGTGCAGATTCAGAAAATTGCACTGGATAGACCACATCAGCTCTAGTTTCTGATATGAAACATACACTATCTAGTAGTCACCATATTTTCGCCCATAGAAAACCACATGTAATCATCTAGAAGGGATGTGGTAGTAGTAATCTTTCGTGGGTAGTCACCCTCTCCCCAGCTGACATCTCTGTTGCCTCAGCACTATAAGAAGATTTTGTGAGACCAGTTGTTCCTGTTGCCATGTGGTTTTGAGGCAACAGTGTAGTAATGGTGAGGCTGCAGACCATATTTTTGCTCTTGAGGACCATTAGCTGTCTACAGACCACAGGTTGGGAACCACTGTTCTAAACCTTCATGGGTTAGAATGTAATAGAAACGAAATTAGCGGGTTCTGGTGGTGTTGTTTTTTTCAAAGAGAACCTCAGTGCAATTGACATTTTCAGCTCCTGATTCTAGTCCGACTTTTTACATTAAAATTCATCTCATGTATGTATGTATATTGTGATGTCTCAAGAATGCATGGGTTTCCAGATAGAAAAAAAGATCCTTTAATGGTTGCGTAAAAGAGGACCTTTTCCAGAGGCATTGCCAGTCACGCAGCGAGGCAGCCAGCAACACTGTAGAAATTCTCTCTTCTAAACAAACAGTCATTAAAGGTACAGGAACCCTCTCCGGCTTTCACTCTAGCAATGCCACTGCTGACAGCAATAGACTGAATAACCCATTGTCTCTAGTTTTCTCTTGCTGACTGGTATAGCAGAACACAACTACTTTATTTTATTTGTAGCCGACATGAAAGGATTGGCTTTAACGTGGGGACACAATTCCCTCAGAGCCGCTTTTCTGGGTTTCTCCGTTTCACCAGCCCATCCCCGTTGGTGTTTCCAGTTCAGTACAGTTCACTGTACAGCGGCAGGCTTTTATAGGGGCTGATTTGTTTTGCCAAGACATTGCGAAACATTCCTAGCTTGGTGTTACGAGGGTCACCTCGGCATTTCAACCTTTGGTCAGGGCAAAATATGCCCCAAAGCTAAACAAAGCAAGAGTGAGTGAGCCGCAAGTGGGAGGACAATGTGTGCCGGGCTTTTCGAAAACTGTGTTGCCACAGCCGGAGGAAAAAGCAGCCACTTTCCGTAAGGCTATGTTTTCTCTTGCATAAGACTAATCTTGACTCCTCTTGAGTCATACAGGGGGGGGAGGGAGAACACCGAGAAATTCATTAGCTCAGGGAAATGTGCAAATGAGGCTCTTGTTGTTTTGATTGGCCTGACTCAGGCCAATGGGTTGCTTCCTTTCGTTTAACTTGCCGTTCTGCTCCTGCCAAGCTCAAGCTCACAGCCACACCGCTCTGCTGTGCGTTGCGGCCACCACAGCCCTGGCTCTCTCTGCTTGGTCTCCCTCCGGCTGCTTCAGTGCAAACAGCTGCCTGAACAGCAGCATTAGCAGCAACCGCTGAAGCCTCCACTCTTTAGTTCGTTCGTTCACTTGCTAAACCCGATGAAGGCTGCTTCTTCTCTGTGACATCAAGGCCAGATGTTTGGCACAGCCCCATCTCCGGGGGTCTGAAGAAATCCAAAGTGTAATAACAGGGCCAGTTCAGAATGCAATGGAAAGGCTGAAGACTGGACGACTTGTTACCGTGGACAGCTGCCGCTGTTGATCCCGTTTCAAAAGATGGTGAACCGTTCTGGATCTGGACTCCTTGTGCTCTCAGCTCTCCCCTTTTGAGGGAGTTTGGGTGTGACCTTTGGTGCACAAAGTGTTTTCTCCTGGGTTCTAAGGAACCGGAAATCAGCACAATTTCAGAACGTTTTCGTTTTTATTTCTATACATATTTTTGAAGTTCCCACACTAGCAGCGAAGGCTGCCATTGGTTTCTGTTCCTCTGGGGGAAAATGGCAACCGCTGCCTACATTGCCGCCGAGTGCCTTGTCTCGATGTCCAGCCGTGCGATCGTCCATGGTCCTGCCGGAGAGCTGTGCCCCAAACCCGTGGGTACCGTACCTTCTCCTGTCATCCCAGACAGAGCTGAGAAATACGAACTGGTTGAGACAGATAGGGAAAATGGAGTTGGGTCCTCGGATTATCTTGTGGCCAGTGTTCTGGCAGGTTTCAACCGGTATCTTCCCAAAGCTTCCTCGTTTCCGATGGAGAAGCCAGAGATTGTCGTCCGAGGGGAGGCCCCGAACCCATCCCTTCCTGGGAAAGAGCTTCTGGGGGAAGGAGGCCTCTTGCCGGCCGGCAAACATGGCGGAGGCACAGCAGCAGCCACACCTACCAGGCTGGCAGCGGCGACGAGTGAGCCGAGCCCCAAACAAAGGAGCAGGAAAGGCAGATGTCGGCCTGACCCTGGATTACCTCTGAAAAAGCACAAATGCCACTATGCGGGTTGTGAAAAGGTTTACGGCAAGTCTTCCCACCTGAAAGCTCACCTTCGGACCCACACAGGTGAGTTCCCAGTTGGCCTGAGGGTTTCTTGTTGACCTCTTGGTGGTGGGATTGGCCATGGTGTTTGGAGATGGTGGAGGTCTGGAGGCCATGCTTTGAGGATGGAAGTCCAGGAGAGGTGAATGAGAGTGTTCACTCTACATGTTCACTCCTGTTGCTGTTGTAGTACGTAGCTTAGTCAAGTCTGTGCTTCCTCATGAGTGCTGGCCTGCATTTGCTCCTTTCTCCTCATTTAACCTAGTGCCCTATATTCCAAAGCACGGCTTTGACTTCTCCACTTCCTTGCCTTCAAATCAGTTTTAGCTGTGTTGTTCACACGAGTGTTTCAATCAGTGGTTCTCAACCTTCCTAATGCCGCGACCCCTTAATACAGTTCCTCATGTTGTGTTGACCCTCAACCATAACATTATTATCATTGCTACAGTAGAGTCTCACTTATCCAACCTTCGCTCATCCAACGTTCTGTATTATCCAACACAATCTGCCTCCTGGCTTGATTCACAGTCAATGTAGTCAATATAATATAATATAATATAATATAATATAATATAATATAATATAATATAATAATCTATATAAACAAAAATGGAATGTTCGTTTGTGGGATTAACAGAACTCAAAAACCACTGGACAAATTGACACTAAATTTGGACACAAGACACCTAACAACCTAATGTATGTCCTTCACTAAAAATAATGTTGTCATTTGGGAGTTGTAGTTGCTGGAATTTATAGTTCACCTGCAATCAAAGAGCATTCTGAATCCCCACCAACGATGGAATTGAACCAAACTTGGCACACAGTTCTCCCATGACCAACAGAAAAAACTGGTGGGCAGTGTCCTTTGGTTTTGGAGTGGTAGTTCACCTACATCCAGAGACTCAAACTATGATTGATCTGGACCAAACTATGATTGATGTGGACTCAAACTATGATTGGTCTGGACCAAACTCTACACAAATACTCAGTATGCCCAAATGTGAACACTGGTGGAGTTTGAGGAAAATAGAATCTTGACATTTTGGAGTTGCTGGGATTTATAGTTCACCTACAATCACAGAGCATTCTGAACCCCATCAACGATAGAATTGGGCCAAACCTCCCACACAGAACCCTTATGTGGGCCACAGCAATGCGTGGCCGGGGATGGCTAGTATAATATAATATAATATAATATAATATAATATAATATAATATATATAATATATTGTATATACATATAATATTGATAATATTATAATGTACTACAATATAATACTAATAATAATATGATATTATTATTGTTATATATTTTATATTAAATGTAATATTACTAATAATATTACAGTATGATGTTATGGCACAATATAGTGATATGTAATATTGATACTGTGCTATGGTAATAGTATAATATATTACCATATATGTTTACATTTTACTTGTAAGCCACTCTGAGTCCCCTTCAGGATGTGATGGGTGGCATATAAATGTCGTAAATAAATAAATAAATTGCGATGTTTGGGTGCTCAGTAATTACTAAAAAATATTACCATGTATCGTATTGTCTAAGGATTTCATGGCCGGAATTACTGGGTTGTTGCAAGTTTTTCGGGCTGTATGGCCATGTTCCTGAAGCATTCACTCCTGACGTTTCACCTGCATCTATGGCAAGCATCATCAGAGGTTGTGAGGTTATGAGGTCACTGTGTATTGAATTGCTTTTCCTGTTGATTTGTTGTAAAACATGATGTTTTGGTGCTTAATTTGTAAAATCATAACGTAGTTTGACATTTAATAGGCTTTTCCTTAACTCCTCCTTATGATCCAACATTTTTGCTTATCCAACGTTCTGCCAGTCCATTAATGTTGGATACAGTCTACTGTACTTCATAACTGTAATTTTGCTACTATTATGTTTGCGTTTTCGGTTTGTGTTTTCAGTTTTATCTTATTGTAAGTTGTTGTTTGGGCTTGGCCTCATGTAAGCCGCTCCAAGTCCCCATTGGAGAGATGGTGGTGGGGTATAAATGAAGATTATTATTATTATTATTATTATTATTATTATTATTATTCGTAATGTAAATATCCGATATGCACGATGTATTTCATTCACTGGACCAAACTTGGCACAAATACCCGATACGCCAAAATTTGAATATTGGTGAGGTTGGGATTGAATTTGTCATTTGGGAGTTGTAGTTCACCTACAATCAAAGAGCATTCTAAACTGTGCCAATGATGAAACTGAACGAATTTTGGCACACAGAAATCCCATGACCCACAGGGTTTGGTGGGCATTGACCTTGAGTTTGGGAGTTGTAGTTCACCTACATCCAGAGAGCATTGTGGACTCAAACACTGATGGAACTGGACCAAACTTGGCGTGAATACTCAATATGCCCAAACGTGAACACAGCTGGAGTTTAGAGAAAGTAGACCTTGAGATTTGGGAGTTGTAGTTGCTGGGATTTATAATAATCAATATGCCCAAATTTGAATACTGGTGGTGTTGGGGTGGGGTGAGGATTGATTTTGTCATTTGGGAGTTGTAGTTGCTGGGATTTATAGTTCACCTACAATCAAAGAGCATTCTGAACTCCACCAATGATAGAATTGAACCAAACTTGGCACACAGAACTCCCATGACCAACAAACAAGGGTTTGGTGGGCATTGACTTTGAGTTTTGGAGTTGTAGTTCACCTACATCCAGAGAGCACTGTGGACTCAAAAAATGATGGATCTGGAACAAACTTTGTGAGAATTTATAATACTCAATATGCCCAAATTTGAATACTGGTGGGGTTGAGGGGATTGATTTTGTCATTTGGGGGTTGTAGTTGCTGGGATTTATAGTTCACCTACAATCAAAGAGCATTCAAAACCCCACCAATTGGGCCAAGCTTTTCACACAGAACCCCTATGACCAACAGAAAATACTGTGCTTTCTGATGGTCTTTGGTGACCCTTTTGACACCCCTTCGTGACCCCCCAGGGGTCCCAACCCCCAAGTTGAGAAACACTGGTGTATTTGTCGGTATTTAGAATTTGCAATGGTCCTGTTTTTCTGGATGACACTAATGATAGAATATTGTAATTAGCACTGGAGATGAATATGTTGAAAGGCAACCTAGGAAGAGAATCCGGGTAAGCCAAGGGTCGTGTTGGGAGGGACCTCTCAGCGGAAGGAGGCACTCCTTAATGATCACCTCCGAAAGCAAAATGTAAGGCACGAACCTGAAGCTTTTTTGTTCATTTCCTTCCAATTGATGGTGGGTAGATATTTGGATCTCTCTTCTGCTAGATTTGTCGTACGAGATATTCCACCTAATGCTTTGGATTGATGTCTGGATGCTCGTGGGAAGCCTAAGAGGCAGAACCTTCAAAAGGCAATCTCTTTTCTATAGGCCACGATCCACCATGAACTTTCCCTGAAAGGAATGGGAGATCGGTAGGCAAAAAAGAAGGCTTGTTTCAGCAACTTAATGGGGAGTTATTTTGTGTAGGTTGACACCCACTCTTCTCCAAAATCCTCCATTATGCATTGCTCTTGGAATTTGCCACCAAAGTGAAGGTACTACCTGTTTTGGCCCATTGTTCTACCCTTCCACTCCTGTCTCCAACATAATCAGTGAGTTGATTTAGATGTGGGAGAATTCAGAAGTGTATGAAGCAACCTTCCAAATGCTGTGACTCCTCAATACAGTTCCTCATGTTGGGGTTAACCCCAACCATAACATTATTTTCGTTGCTACTTCACAACTGTAATTTTGCTACTGTTATGAATCATAATGTAAATATCTGATATGCAGGATATATTTTCATTCACTGGACCAAATTTGTCAGAAATACCTGACACAAACAAATTTAAATACTGGTGGGGTGGGGGTTGATTTTGTCATTTGGGAGTTGTAGTTGCTGGGATTTATAGTTCACCTACAATCAAAGAGCATTCTGAACTCCACCAACGACGGAATTGAACCAAACTTGGCACATAGAACTCCCATGGTCAACAGGAAATACTGGAAGGGTTTGGTGGGCATTGATCTTGAGTTTTGGAGTTGTAGTTCAGAGAGCACTGTGGACTCAAACAATGACTCAAACTTGGCATAAATGTTAAAGGTAAAGGTTGTCCCCTGACATTAAGTCCAGTCATGTCTGACTCTGGGGTGTGGTGCTCATATCCATTTCTAAGCTGAACAGCCGATGTTGTCCTTAAACACCTCCAAGGTTATGTGGCTGGCATGACTGCATGGCGCACTGTTACCTTCCCGCCGGAGCGGTACCTATTGATCTACTCACATTTACATGTTTTTGAACTGCTAGGTTGGCAGAAGCTAGGATGTGTGTGTGGAGGATGATTTTGTCATTTGGGAGCTGTAGTTGCTGGGATTTATAGTTCACCTACAATTAAAGAGGATTCTGAACTCCATCAACTTGGCACGCAGAACTCCCATGACCAAGAGCAAATACTTGAAGGGTTTGGTGGGCATTGACCTTGAGTTTTGGAGTTGTAGTTCACCTACATCCAGCGAGCACTGTGAACTCAAACAATTATGGATCTAGACCAAACTTGGCACAAATACTTAATATGCCCAAATGTGACCACTGGTGGAGTTTGGGGTAAATAGACCTTGACATTTGGGAGTTGTAATTGTTGGGATTTATAGTTTACCTACAATCAAAGAGCATTCTGGACTCCACCAGCGATGGAATTGAACCAGACTTGGCATATAGCGCTCCCACCAAACTCTGGAAGAGTTTGGTGGACACTGAGCATTCCGAACCCCACCAATGATAGAATTGGGCCAAACACAGAACCCCCATGAGCAACAGAAAATACTGGAAAGGTAATAATAATAATAAGAAGAATAAGAATAATAATAATCTTTATTTATACCCCGCCACCATCTCCCCAATGGGGACTCGGAGTGGCGTACATGAGGCCAAGCCCAAACAACAAATTACAATAGAGTAAAACCGAAAACACAAATCAAAAATGCAACAATAAACAACACCATAA